AAACTAAATTATTTTACATTATAAAAACAGTATAACTTATATTTATTTAGTACATTTTTAAATTAATGTAAAAACTAAAATGAATTGTAAAACTGAAAGTATTTTTTTTTAATTGTGTTCAGCACGGTGGGCCGCATTTGAATTCGTGACCGGGGGCCGCGTTGAGAACCACTGGTCTAAAGAAATACCCTAACTCCCCCCTCAAATTAAAAAAATCCCCCCCATAAGGGCCACCTAAAGGGGGAATTCCCCCCCATTTTCCAAAACAAAATTCAGGCCCTGCCATAACATAACCACATAACCAACATAAAATTAACCAGACAACAACAGAACACTTACATGATTGAGCTTGAAACCGAGGTTTCTCAGTCTGGACATTTACATTTATTCATCTTGCAGACGCTTTTATCCAAAACGACTTACAATTGGGGAATACATCAAGCGATTCTTCTTAAAGAGGCAAACAGACACAGGAAGTGCTCGTAATACCAAGTTTCAGGCATTGTTCAAATAAGTACAAGCTTGAAAGGGAAGGAATAAATAAAGAAGACTTTTTTTATTTATTTTTTTATTTAGGATGAAGCCAGATAGTGATGAAAGAGATGAGTTTTCAGCTGTCTCTTGAAAATTGTCAGGGATTCAGCATTCCGGATAGGGGTGGGAAGATCATTCCACCAGCCAGGAACGGTGAACGAGAATGTTCTGGAAAGTGATTTTGAGCCTCTCTGTGATGGTACCACGAGGAGTCGCTCACTAGTGGATCTCAGACTTCTGGAAGGGGATGTAGATTCGTTGTAGGGAGTGGAAGTAGGCAGGTGCTGAGCCTGTGGCTGTTCTATATGCAAGCATCAATGTCTTGAACTTGATGCGAGCCGCAACCGGTAGCCAGTGCAAGGAGATAAAGAGAGGTGTAACATGGGCTCTTTTGGGCTCGTTGAAGACCAGTCGTACCGCTGCATTCTGAATCATTTGTAGAGGTTTGATTGTGCTTGATGGAAGTCCAGCCAGAAGAGCATTGCAGTAGTCCAGCCTAGAAATGACAAGGGCCTGGACAAGAAGTTGTGCAGCATGCTCCGTTAGAAAGGGCCTGATTTTTCTGATGTTGTGCAATGCAAACCTGCAAGATCGAGCAGTCTTTGCAATGTGGTCTTTGAAGGTCAGCTGGTCATCAAAGATTATACCAAGATTTCTGACCGAACTTGATGGGGTAATTGTTGAAGGACCTAGCTGGATGGTGAAATCATGCTGTAGAGTTGGAGTGGCAGGGAAGACAAGAAGCTCAGTCTTTGCCAGGTTTAGCTTTAGGCGATGTTCTTTCATCCATGCCAAGATGTCCGCCAGGCAGCCTGAGATCCGTGCAGCTACCGTTGGATCATCTGGTTGTAATGAGAGCGAGAGAGCTGTGTGTCATCAGCATAGCAATGGTAGGAGAAGCCATGTGCCTGTATGATGGGTCCCAGTGATGTAGTGTATATGGAGAAGAGGAGGGGTCCAAGAACTGAACCCTGGGGAACCCCAGTGACCAGTTGATGTGCTTTGGATACCTCCCCACCCCAGGCCACCCTAAAGACCTACCAGTGAGATAGGATTCAAACTAGCGAAGTGGAATCCCTGTGATGCCCAGTGATGAGAGGGTGGACAGGAGGATCTGATGGTTCACAGTGCCAAAAGCGGCAGATAGTTAGGCAGATGGACTCAGAGCAGTTTGAGTGAACCATGGAAGAAAAACCATGCTTCCCCTTCACCAAACAATACTGACGACTTCTCCCCCTTACCTGGCTATATACAAGAGAGAATGATACCTAGAGCCCCCTAGTGAATGGTAGTGGCATTACACCAAAGAAACACAGTAACCAAACTCTGGGTGGTTACAAAACTTATTGCATCAGGTCTTTCATTCTTGCGCCTATACCGTCCACTGGAATACAGCTCCACTGGAATTCAAAACTCTTCAACTTGCAAGAAAACAATATCAGCAGAACAAACTGCAAATTAGTCTGCAAACTAACAAAAAAATCAAAGATTTACTCGCACTGCACATTGTTTTAAAATCAATTTATTTTTGTAATAAAAAGTTGACTTTTTATTGGCAATCTTTTTTTTTTTTTTTTAAATATTGGGTTATTGGGTGTTTAACTGCCGATGTTGTTCCTTGCGCCACCTGGTGTATATTGTGTGAAGCACAACAATGTTTTTAAAAATCTGAAAAAGTGCCTGCAGGGAGCTCTGTTATCATGCTCGACCAGTTGCGTGCTGGCGCAAGAAAAAATGTGCATTCTTAATGGCCACATCTGTAATGGTGATTTTTATTGTAATCAGTCAGAGTTATAATAATGTTGTGACATAAATATTTGCATATGGTGCACCGCTGGCATGTCTGTATGTGTTTTTTGTGAAGTTACCTGTATCTATGGAGGAGGTGATGGATTTGTTGAATGAAGTCAACCAGCAGCTTGAAGATGTTGGTGAGGTGGATGAAGATCAGGTGGACTATCCTGTGACATCCAGCCCCAGTCAGCCCGCTGAAGGCCATGTTAAATTCTCCACTCCTTCCCCATCCAAGAGTGTCACGTCACCGTCCAAAAGATCTGTGGTACATTAGGTTCTGCTGTTTCTGCTCAAACTCTGCGTGCCGTTTACTGTTGCTGATTGTCTCTGTCTCCCTCCTGCAGTTCTCCCCCAAAACGCCTCCTCACTGGGTGGAGGACCAGAAGTCACTGCTGCAGATGTTATGCCAACAGGTCGAGGCCTTGAAGGTCAGTCAGACACCAACAGCCTGCAGAAGAATCAATCAGTTTCTTTGCTTTCGCTTTTCCACAGTGTGAATTTGCCTTCTGGGCATTATTTTTGTTTTATTTATGATTTTATTATGGAAGCTTATTCTTTTTTATATATACATTTTGACATTTTAATTGAGTGAGCACATAGAGACAAACCGTTTGAGCAGAGAATTAGGAGAGTGCTGTAGTCTAGTTCAGAGCCAGACTGAAGGACGTTTGCATGCCACTGGAGAGCATACACTAACACACACGAGGTTCAGCCGAGATTGAAATTCAACAGAGATATGTTTTACTGATCCATTGACACACAAATGAAATGATACGCTTCATTTCAGCGTGAGCGCACTCTTGCCAGAACTCCCATTATTATTGAAGCTAATACTCAGCCTCTTGTTCACCTCATGTCTTTGTGCAGAAGCGCGCTGAACACTGCTTTGAGCGGTTGATGAACTTAAAACGCCTCTGATTGGCTGATGCATTCTTGTGCTCAACAGACATACAGTTAATGGAGGACGCCATGATCGGAGCTGTTCTTGTTGTGTTTTGGGTTTTGTGATAACTGAGATTGAATGTAATGACGCTTTTCCACTGCATGGTACGGCACGGTTCGGTACGGTTCACTTTTGGGGGGTTTTCCACTGGGTACAGTACCTGGTACTTTTTTTTTTTTTTTTTTTTTACCACCTCGGTTGAGGTTCCAAGTGAACCGTACCGTTACCAAAACGTGACGTGTAAACTCTGCTGATCACGGATTGGCCGGAGAGAATCATCGCTACCTGCGTCACTGAACTTACGACAGAGACACAACAGAACCACTAGACTTAAATTAGCACAGCCAGCGAAGGATCGAACGCAACTGTTTTGAATGAGCGCACCTTTTTTTAACGGTTTTTTTTAAGAGAAGCGGATCCAGCGAGAGCTTGATGGGGTGACGTGGAATGAAAACGTTTTTCAGGAGTCGCGGCAGTAGAAGCGGCACAACTATAACGACGTGAATAATACCGCCCACTCTAAAGCGGTACTAAACTGCAGTGGAAATGCAAACTGAGCTGAGCCGAGCCGCGCTGTGCCGTACTGAGCCGTGCCGAGTCGTACCACGCAGTGGAAAAGTGCCAACAATTTACACGACTGAAAGAGCAAAAAGCTGGGCTAACAGGTAAATGCCGTTATCGCTGTTTTCCATGTTCATGGAGTAAGTATTTTTACAAAATGCCGGGTAGCCGGTGTTTCGTATGCGTTTGGCTAATCAGCGTACACTTACATCACTGGTAGTTCCTACAGAACCGTTTTAGACCCTACTCTGAAGTAGGAGCTAATTTAGTTCCTCCAAACGGAGTACCTAGAACTAAAACCATTCCTAGTTCCTGCGGTGCGAACACGACAAAAAGCGGGTACTTCCGCCAATAGTTCTAGGAACTATGAAAAAAAAAAAATGTGAAAAGCCCCTAATGCTGCAAAAACACATTGTAAATAGAAACCTTTGCACTCATAAATACATGCAGGAGTGTTCAAAAGCAGTCGGCTGTCAGCGGGAGCCAAACTGAGTCTGTATTACCAATGCTGCAGAAACTGGTATCAGCACATTTTTATTATTTCAGAATCACCTTAGTGCCGCTACATTTGACAACTCTAGCTAAAGCTCTAAAAAGCATAGTTACTTTTGTCTGTTTTTAATGTCTTCTGTTGAATAATCCATGTTTTTATAACTTTAAAGGATTAGTTCTCATTCCGGCATAATAATCAAGGAACTTTGCTGCTGTACCCATGGTACGGCAGCCAAGTTCCTTGATTATTACGCTGGAATGAGAGTATAGTTCCTAGCCATATCGGCCTAAAAAATTTCTTTTCATTTTCCGTCGGTCTTAGTACACGATGTAACCACAGAAGAGTCAAGTTTTAAATAGGAAAAATATAGAAACTCTTTGGTCATTTTTGAGCGAGATGTTAACGGTCCAATCCGATTCAATGATCTATGCTAAGCTGCAGCTAAAAGTGCTACCGCCAGACCCGGAGATCGGCTGAATGGATTAGAAAACGGTAAAACTCTAGGTGAGTTGGAAAATGAGCCTATTTTCAAAAATAGTGGAGTGTTCCTTTAACCAGCTTTCAACT